GATCAAGTATCAGTAGCCCACCCTAGTGGCAGGAAAACTTATCAGTTACTCGCCCCGAAGTATCATTGGGTCGGAATGGAAGCGGATTGCCTCCGATATGTGCGCAACTGCGTGACGTGCCGACTTTCTCACACTAGCGTGACGAAGCAGCAAGGCTTCTTACACCCCCTACCGGTACCCGAATACCCCATGCAACACCTAACGATGGACTTTAAGGAATTCCCAAAGGATAAACACGGATTCGACAGCATCCTTGTGTTCATGGACCGACTCGGTAAGGGTTCAGTGTCCATACCGTGTCATAAGACCACCGATGCCCGCCAAATGGCGCAGCTATTCATCGAATGGATATATCGATTCGGACACACCCCAGAGTCGATCATTAGTGATCGCGGACCCCAATTCATATCAGCTTTCTGGCGAGAGTTCTGCCGAATCATAGGGGTCAAGATTAAGCTGTCAACAGCCTATCACAAGCAGACCGACGGGCAGACGGAAATCATGAATCGGTATATCGATCAGAGACTGAGGCCCTTCGTATCACATTACCAGGATAACTGGAGCGAGCTCATTCCCATCATGGATCGGGTGCAAATGACCCTTCCCCATGCCTCGATCGGAATGACCCCCTACCGACTCAAGTACGGAACTGATCCGCGCACCAGTTGGGACTGGGAAACCCCGAAAGCCACGACCCCTAGGGAAGTCATGAACCAGAAGGAAGCCAAAGCAGTAGCAAACCGCATGCACTCCGCATGGATTTACGCAAAGGAGAACATGGCCAAAGCACAAGAGGATATGTCTAAATACGCGAATCGACGCCGACGAGCCATTGACTGGGACGTAGGAGACAAGGTTTACCTATCGACCAAGAATCTGAAAAATCACCGCCCTAGCCGTAAGCTGGGGCAACAATGGGTCGGACCCTATACGGTACTGGAACAAATCGGACACGCCTTCCGACTAGACCTACCGAAGGGTTCCCAAATACACGATGTCTTCTCTCCAGACGTACTCATCAAGGCTCCGAATAACCCGCTGCCCGGTCAAGCAGCGCCTGAGCCAAGCAGCGAAGTCGTAGACGGCCTAGAGGAGTGGGAGGTCGAAAAGATCCTCGCCGTAAGGATCCGGTGAAAACAACTTCAATACCAGGTATCCTGGGTCGGATACGATCCGGACCCGGAATGGTACCCCGCCTCAAACTTTAAGAACTCCCCCTACAAAATCCGGGAGTTCCACGCGGAGTACCCAAACCTGCCAGGACCACCGCAGGACCTACCCGGCTGGATCACGGAATGAAAGACAGGCAAACCAAGCTACGATCACGAGAGGCACGGCAAAGCAGAGGAAAACAGCGTCGTTGCTACCTACGACACTAAACTAAACACCCTCTAAGCCAGGGCACCCTCAGAGCCGTAGCCCTTGCGGAAGCCACCCTTCCCAAACGTCTCACCGGCGTCGCAACAAGCGGCTACCACCATGAGAGACGAAGGGTCGAAGTGACCCCACGCGAAAGACCACGCCCGAGTTCCCTCCGACACAGGGCCTATCATCCAAGGTCGACAGTCACCCCCTCCTCCTCCACCTCCGCCACCTCCTCTGCCCCCCTCTTCCTCTTCTTCCCCCCACCACCGCCCACCTTCGCCGCCGCGGCGAGGACGTCGGGGATCCTCTCCACCAACTCCCCCACCGCATCCACCGCAGAAGCCACCCCATCAAGGGCAGTGATCTCCTTCTCCTGGTTCACCAGGATCAGGGCCGATTTCTGGCCCACGACGGCCACGGCCTGGCGGACCCGCTACGGTCGTCAGCGCGAGAACCAAAAACACACAAGGGAAACGGAAAACTTACCTCCAGACCGTCCTCGACGGCGGCGCGGAGGGCGCAACTCTCCATATAGGCCGAAAGCTTGGCCGGGGAGCGGAACTTCGGCATATTGGCGGTGGCCAATGTGACCACACGCCCAATCTCCGCCGCAGCGGCCTTGATGGCGGCGGGGACGGGAGGGGTTTCTGCCTCGGCAGCCAGGAGCTTCTGGTACTCCGGGCCAGCAAACCAGGAGATCTATCTCCAGAGGTCAGCGACGGGCAGACAGACAAACCACAAAACCGAAAACCAAACGAGAACCCACCGGAACACACGTTGCGTGTTGGGCCACGCAGCGCTCACACTTAGAGCTTTCCAAGCTCCACACACACGAGACGGCGGGATCTCCGTCCTTCTTGCGCCCTTTGGCACGCACGCAGTGCATACACTGCTGGCGGAAAGCCACAGTGAGGGCGCCGGGAGGAGGGGGAACTGGCATCTTCAAATTGGAAATCTGCGATTTCCCGTCAGCCCAACCCAAGTTATCACCACCGCGCCAACGCGGTTCCGTCACCTACCAAATCGTTCGTTGTGTTTTTGTATCTAAAAACAACCTGTTAGCATCCAGCTGTACCATCGGAAGGGCCACTTACCAGTCTCGGGAGGGGGTCAGCGTCGTTGTTGTGAAGAAAACAACAAGTTGTGGGCGAAGCTCGAATTCATATTCTGGCTTATAACAAAGCCGTCCGAATCGGGTTAGCGCGAAATTTCCCCCTTACATCGAAATTCTACGTCGACACATACCGCGCGGACCCTATTCGATACCAATACGGACCCTCGCAACACTAATCGCCGCGTACACAACAAGGACGCGACTTTGCGCAAACGGATTCAGACCACTTCTAGTGCCTATACGGCCGCCTACCATCAGCCTTCTGGACAAACAAAGGGCATTCTAGTCTTGGCGCCCGCACCTCACCCACCAACCCAAACAAGGGCTCGTCGCGGCAGCTACTCGGCTTGCGTGCTTTGAGGACAAAGCACCTTCTCAAGGCGGGGGGTAGTGTAAGGATGCCTCCTTACTCGGGGTAGTTACGGCCGTCACGTGGCGCCATCGAGACTCGGGGCCGTTACGGGTCAGTCGCGACTGACAGCCTTAGGCACATAACGTAAGGAAGCCTTAGGCAAACAGGGAGCTAGCTGAGTCGGAGCGGTTTCGGGTATTTTAAGGGAACAGCCATACAGGGTTACACCTTCATCTTTTTTGTATTCTTCGTAGTAGACCTATAGGATTGCACCGACTTCTATCCGACTCGCACTCCCATATGCCACTTCTCGTGATACGGTGCCCTGTGTCCTTACAGACCTCACTTACTTCGGTCCTTGCGAGGGGCTCTTGTCATGACACTCCTTCGATATTTGTGTCACGACCCTTCGATTCGCTTTAGTCTCTAGTACTTATTTCACTATGTCATTCACTTCACCTGCTTCGCTCACTTCGCTCACTTCGCTTCACTTGCTGACCTAGATCAGCCCAAATGTTGACTACTGGCTTAGGCTCTCTTGTTATTGGCTTGCTGCACTAGGGCTCGCTTAGCTAGGGTTCGGTTAATTAGTGCCTTCGCTTATTTGGCACTAGGGATTTTTACTGTTATATAAGCACTTATTGCTCATGTCTCTTATTGATCTTTAGCTAGCAAATTATATACTACTTGGCCTTCTTGCAATTCCTCCTGCTTCAACTTACTTTGCATTCCCTTACTTCGAGTCGAACCACTTGGCCAACCTGTTAGTCTCACCACTTGACCCCTGTGGTATAAAGTATATGCTTTGGAGCCTGAACTACTATACCTTGTCCTACTGCTTCGAGTATCAAAGTCTTCACATTATACTTCGGATACTTCAGCAGACTTGAAGGTCAGCCTCGGTTCGAACTGTCCTTACATCGGGCAACACTGAATATTAGTATATATAGTACTATTGAATTATAGTTCACATTTTGAAAGGCTTGCTATCATAGTATCATAGTTTGTTGCATTGTCTATTATAAAATACCCAATCTTTGACAATATGCCATATTCTTCAAGCACTGTATAAATCAAACCAGCTTGATTATCACTAGTATGTTTCCCTTTCAGCTCTTGTAATGATAGTACTGACTGTTCAAGCCCTCCATTCTCTGTGATATAGTGTGTAATTAAGCCCATTAACGTTATAAAGGTTGAAGGAATACAACCTACTTCTTATTTAAGCTAGAGAAAAGCGAATTCTATAAGAATTAAGTTGAATTCTTAGGTTACATCATTAGAACGCATGGCATAAAAATGGACTAAGCAAAGGTCACAGCAGTGTTAGAATGGCTAACACCAACCATAGTTAAAGAAGTACAAGCCTTCTTAGGTTTCGCCAACTTCTACTAAACAGGACAATTATGTTTAGATTTTACCCATTGCGCAGTTCACATATAACAGCGCGATGACCAAAGTAACGAAAGCCTCAGCTAATTACGGCTACTAGCTAGAGGCATATAGGCAACTAAGACAAGATGAATCACAAGTAGAACAAGCCATGATCACTACAGAACAACTGAAATCATTCCACAAACAACTCTCAACAGATTTCTAATTCTTAAATGAACGATCTGCCGTATATGCAAACAAGAAGCATAGTATAGAACCTGCCTTTAAGGAGGGGGATAAAGTATACCTACTCTAGAAACACATCAAAATGAAATGACTAGGTACTAGTTGGACTTTAAGAAATTAGGACCATTTAAAATATTAAACAAAGTCAGCTTAGTTAATTACAGACTAAAGCTACCTAAAAACTCTAGACTACACCTGGTTTTTCATGTCTCATTGTTAGAACTAGCAGGATGAAACACCCTGATTGCGACCAATACAAAACTCTAACTAGAGAATGAGATCATTGAATACGAAGTCGAAGCGATCCTAGACAGAAGGTTAGTAGGACGCAAAGAAGAGTTTTTGATAAAATGGAAAGGTTATAAACCTATAGACAATTCATGGGAAATGGTAGGAAACCTTAGCTGTCTAGAGTTACTAGAGGCGTTTCACCATCGACATCCTATTTTCGTACGTAATTTAAGGGAGCTTCGTGCCCAACATAGTATTTTGTTACATACAATAACCGCGTTACTTGAAGCTTGTTTGTCTAACTGCATGTGAAATACGTTATACTGGATCGTCTCTCATCTTCCTTTGCACCTCGAACACTCCATTTAGCGCCACATCCCGAGCCGTATACTGAGAAGGTTTTGGTATACCATATGCCTCAGCCACTTGCGCAATAATCTTTCCCTCCCAGTCGTCGTCATCACTCCTTTCTCCTAACGGGTCCGCAAAGCTCATTGGCACGCTGCTATCCCAAACCCCCTGTATCGTACCTGATAGATTCTTCAAAAAGCTCGCTATACCGCCTGCGCCCCCACCCATATTGTATGACTTGAAAGGACCTTGCACAGCCCATCTAGGGCCGATACTGGCTTCGACGAGGAGATCTAGATCGTGGGCACTGATAATATCGCGATCAACTAAGTAGCATGCTTCGCGAAGGAGAGCGAATGCAAGTCTATTCCCAACGAAGCCTGCAATCTCCTGTTTCAGGACGATTGGCTGATGCCCGGATGCCATCTCAGTGAAATACTGTCTAGCGAAGTCCACCTCTGTTGATTTCGTGATTGGGGAAGGTACAATCTCAATAAGTGGCATGACATGAGGAGGGTTAAATGGATGGACAACCAAAAGTCGAGTCTGATCATTCATATCCTGGACCTGGAGTGAGGCTGCGATTCCCGAGGTCGAACTCCATAAGTGAGTATTATCGGAAACCAATTTTTCCACTTGGGGCCAGATAGATCGTTTGAAAGATAGGTTCTCTGGCCCTTGCTCTTGCACGATTGTAGCGTTCTGGCACGCTTCCTCCAAGGACGAACAAATCTTCAAGCGGCGTGTGAGACGAAGTTGTGTGAGACTAAGAGCAGTGTCTTCGGAATCAATGTAGCCAGGTAAGACTGAATTGATGTACTCTTCAAGATCAGGCCGCGTATCGTATACAGAGACAATTGCACTTGTGTGTTTAATATGGAGGGCAGCGAACGATATACCAATGGTGCCGAGACCGATCAAGGCGACATTGTGCTGAGCGTCTGACGACGATGCTGGTGTCATATTGTTCTGCTTTTATGGACGAACCGAGAAAAATGGAGTAGACAACAATCAAGAGTGCTAGTTTGGTATATCCAGACGTCTTCATCGCGACCCCGCAGCGCCGGCCGCTAAAATAACCCAATCAGGGCCCCGGTTCCACCCCGTCACCATCCGCCGGATCATGGGCCTCAGGAAACATCACCACTTACAGCACATGGCGTCTCGAGTATCACAGCGCATCTTCCAAAGACTTAGCAACCGCATTCTCATCACCTCATCTCTTACCCCCTCTGCTTTTTGCAATACAATATATATACCCCGCCATCACCACCATCAGACACAACAACCAATGCCCCTCTCCCCTCCCCCGCTTCAAATCCTCACACCCCCTCCCCCACCATCTACCCCAAAGCCAAAAACCCTCTTCATCCTTGACTCCTCTTTCAACCCCCCAACAACCGCGCACCTGCATCTCGCGCGCTCAGCACTTTTCTCACGGGATGAGGGGAGGTACCCACATCCACGGCGCGAGTTACTCTTGCTAGCGACGGCGAACGCAGATAAACCCAATGTCGAAGCGGGGCGGGAGGATAGGGTGACGATGATGCGAGTCTTGGCTGGGGATGTGGTTGGGAACCAGGGCGCGAGGGAGGAAAAGGAGGGGGAGGGTGTCGACATAGCCCTCACGCCCCACGCGCTCTTCATCGACAAAGCGCGCGTTATCGCAGAAGAACCGACGTATGAGGGTGTGAAGAAAGTCTTCATCCTCGGTTTCGACACGCTCAAACGGCTGCTGGAGGTGCGGTACTACAATCCTCCTAGTTTATCGGGGTTAGGACCACTGTTTGAGGGGGGCGTGAGGGTGCATTTGCGCGCTGGGGGGGAGGAGGAAGAGGGGGAGCAGAAGAGGTGGATTGAGAGTCTGGGGGGAGAGGGGGGGAGATGGAGAGGAATGGGGGGAGGAGGGGATGGGTGGGGGGATGGAGGTGGTGGAAGCTAGCGGGGGGGAGGTAAGTTCGAGTGAGGTTAGGAGGAGGGTGAAGGCGGGGGAGACGGTGGCGGGGTTGGTTACCGAGGGGGTGGAGGATGTTATTGGGAGGAAGGGGTTGTATAAGAGAAGTGATGAAATATCTGGGATGCAGGAGGTGATAAATAGTCGAATACGATGAGCAGATAGCCAGGACTGAACGAGGTCTCGCAGTTTCGGAGGTTATATATGGATTTTTCACTACCGTGTGCGCAATACAGGACCCGTATTATGGTCGGTTGTCAATGGCCAAGGTCCCTAATATTATGTTATGCCCATCTTGCTGCCAGTTAAGTCCGTAGCTCGCCCAGCCGTCACCCGTACCGGCACCAGACACCGACATAACCCACTAACACCCACGCCCATACAGGAACCTTAGATGGGCCACGGCGGAAGGCGGCGGATGAGCATGTCTCACCAATTTCACGCTGAGTCACTCGCCGTGGGCGGCTAAACCCTGTTCGTCGTCTCCCATTGTGCCGATCTGGATGCGGAGAGAGGGCTGTAGACCCGTGGCTTGCACGTTTCTTTCGGTGAGGGAGACGACAGCAGCTGTGCGACGGTCTGAAACTCGACGCTCGGGGAGGTAGTGGTTGAGGCGGTGTGGTGGTTACGGATTGGACTGTATGTACTCTACACTCTACATGTTGTACTCCCCGATGCACGCTTTTGATGCAAGGAGTTAAGAGTTTTACTGGTGAGTTATACGGTGAGTAACCAGCTCATGAATTTATGGAGTTATGGGGTCATGAAGGCTTTACCATAGATCTCCGTATGGATCCAAGGTTCGGAGATAGGAGTGGATGCTCGGGGGGCTGACACAACACAACCACAACATACTTGGTCATAATTCCCTCCCTTCTCTCTGCATCGCGACGAACATTAACAGTTAATGTTCGTCGCGATGCGGAATTCCTGTACAATTAGTTGTACAATGAGTGAGCATGAGTGATGGTGGCTAGGAGTGGATCGATCATAACTTAGTGCAGCCGCCGTCGCTCTCATTCCTCTCCTTCAACACCATGGCGGATCCGCTGAAAGTGGTTCTTACTGCCAACAACTCTATTTGCAACAGGACCAGTACCGATGTACTCTACTCCATAGCTGAATATGATGGATGGCAGATCTATCTATATATATGTGTAGGTCCTCTTCCCTTTGTCATATTCTTCTCTTCTCTCAATATAATTCTCACATTCTAGCTTCGGCCTCCTCCTCCTCCTCTCCTTCCCTCCCCTTTCTTCACACCCCCACTTTACCTGTCTCACTTCCTACTACTTTTCATTATCACATCATACCACAAAACACAACAACCCCCAGCCTGGCAAAGCTGCCCCCTACAGCCCCAATGACCGAGCACATACCCTCCTCGGCGACCTCCATGGTCGACGAAGAGAAAATGGAGAAGAAGCTCGCCGAGTCCACCACCGACCGCCCCACCAGCGGCAGCAAGGCATCCCTCAAAGATAACCTCTCCGCCAACAATGCCGCCCCCGAGACCGTCTACCCCACCGGCTTCCGTATGGCCGCCATTGTCGTCGCCCTCGCCCTAGGAATCTTCCTCGTCGCCCTCGACATGACCATCGTCGCAACAGCCATCCCTAAAATCACCGACACAAAAGGCTTCAAAGGGCTTGATCTGATCGCCTGGTATAGCTCCGGCTTCTTCCTGACGCTCGGTTCCTTCCAATCTACGTGGTTTGTCCTCCCTCCCCTTCATCCCTTGGATCTCTGATTAACAACGATTAACACCCCACCCACCCCAGGGGCAAAATCTACAAATACTTACCCCTAAAAATCTCCTTCCTAATCTCCATCGCCGTCTTCGAGCTCGGCTCCCTAATCTGCGGCGTCGCGCCCAACAGCACCGCCCTGATCGTCGGCCGCGCCATCGCCGGTGCAGGAGGCGCCGGTATCGCCTCGGGGGGCTATACCATCATCGCCTTCTCCGCCTCTCCCAAGATGGCGCCTGCATTCACTGGTCTCCTCGGCGCCAGTTACGGAGTCGCTAGTGTGATTGGTCCTCTCCTTGGTGGAGTCTTTGCTGACCACGCGACGTGGAGATGGTGTTTTTATATTAATCTGTAAGTCCGCTGCCCCCCCCATCCTTCGTACCAGTTCCATGATGCTAACACCACCCAGCCCCATCGGAGGCGTAGCCGCCATAATCATCTTCCTCTACTTCCAGACCCCCCCCGCCGCCATCCCCACGCCCGCCCCCCTTTGCGAAAAACTCCTCCAAATGGACCCCCTCGGCAACCTAATCGTCGTCATCGGAGTCGTCTGCTACATCCTCGCCCTGCAATGGGGCGGCGTCACCAAATCCTGGTCCTCCGGCCCCGTCATCGGCACCCTCGTCGCCTTCGGTCTATGCATCTTCCTCTTCATCGGCGTCGAATACTACCTCGGCGAGCGCGGCATGGTAGTCGGTCGTCTGCTAAAGAAACGCACAATCTGGGTCCCAATGCTGTACTCCCCCTTCCTCGGCGGCGCCTTCTTCGTCCTGCTCTACTACCTCCCTATCTACTTCCAAGTCGTCGGCGGGGTGTCGCCGTCGGAGAGTGGGATCAGGAATCTGGCGATGATTATTGCGACTTCGATTGCTACGATTGCGTCGGGGGCGATGATTAGTATGTTCGGGCATTACGTGTATATCCTCATCGCTGGGGGGGCTTTTACTGCTATTGGCGCGGGTCTGATATATACCCTCGACCTCCACTCCGCCGCCTCGCAATGGATAGGGTACCAAGTCCTCGCCGGCCTTGGTGTAGGCTTGTCAATCCAATGCGCCATCATCGTCGCGCAATCCACCTCCGCCCCCTCGGACGTCAGTTCCGCCACCGCAATGGTCCTCTTCACCCAGACGATCGGGGGCGCGTTCTTCGTCTCCGCCGGGCAAACGGCATTCACCAACATCCTCCTCAAGCGGGCTCAGATCTACGTTCCGGGGATTGATCCGCAGAGGATACTGGCGGTGGGGGCGGGGCAAATTAGAGAGGCGTTTGCAGAGGATGTGGTGGAGGGCGTTATTAGCGCGTATATGGATGGCCTCAGGGGGGCGTTTGCGATTGCGATCGCGTGTGCGACGCTGGCGACGCTGATTGGGGCGGGGGGGAGGTGGGTTAAGCTTGCGGGGATGGCGGGGGGTACTATGTGAGCTCTTGAGAGCGGGGGTGATCACGAATGAACTGGTGGAAGAATGAGCTGTTTGAGAGAGGGATGGGTATGAGGAGGATAATGGTATAGATGGACTTGTGGTGCAAAGATTGGGACACAACTGTATGTGGGTGGATTTTTTTCTCTGGCGTTTTTGGGAGGAGCATTGGATTGGGCATACTATACTCACTTGGCATTGGCGAGGCATTTTTCTTACGGATGGGATGGGTAATAGATTCATAACATAGATGGACAGGATGGGATGGGTGGGATGGATATACAGGCTCGATCAACTCTACTTAGCAGCCTATTCAAAAGACATATTGGCTTGTACACCAATGCTTTCTAATTAGCTTTCTGGTTTAATATACACTACTCTATACTTGACTATTTCGCCCGCTTCTGCATGATATATACATCTCCGGCGCAGGTTGCCTGCGATATTCTGGGTAATATAGGCTGGCATGATGCCAGCAGTGGTCGGGTTTCGTACTATTTTTCCGGTATAGATGTTTCTCTGTCATGCCGCTCAGCTCTCGGGGTATTTCCATATCTCGCGCCTGTCGGGTAGCTGGGGTATCTCCACATCTCCACATCGCCTCTTGTCACGCCAGCACCACGGTGAAGCGCCGCCCATCACCGCCTCTATACCCCAACCAATAACAGCTGATTCTCCCAGCATCTCGACCCTTATTCATAATCTTCATCCACACACCTCTACCTTTCACCCCCCAACCCTCCCCCCCCTCACAACCCCCCCACTCACCCCTCCCTCCCCCGTCATCCACCCCGGCATCCTCTCCCCCTCCACAACCCCCCTCTCCACCAACGCCCTAACCCCCTTAAACACATCACTCCCCCGAAACGCAACCCTAACACTCGGGCACCACCCCCCCTCTTTCTCCCCAGGAAACGGGTCTTCAATCCTCACATCAACCAGTTCAAGCGGCGCACTGGGTACGTCCCCGAACCGCGCGGCGGCGATGAGACGACGGCGTTTCGCAGTTTCCGCACCAGGATCAAGAGGGCGCTTCATTCCTCTCCCTCTCCCTTCCAGTACCTTGTGTACCAGATCCACCTCATCCTCCTCTTTCCCATCTTTCTCCCCCCCTCCTCCGACGAGTTTACCCACCTCCCCGGCAACATTCTTGTTCGCCACCCCAACAACCTCGCGAAGCACAGGAGCCACGGATTCCAACGGCGTATCCCCCGCTTTCTTCCCACTAAGCGCATACCCCCCCCATCCGCCCTGGGCTTTCCCCGTCCGTCCTCCGCCGCGGAGCGCGATCATCGCTTCGAGACTGCGGGCGGAGAGGTTTGTAGATGCTAACGTGTAGCGTTCTCTCGGTCGCGAGAGGGCGGTTGGGAGGCAAGCTATGAGCGCTCGTCTGAGGTCGCGGGCTGTGTTTTCTTTTGTGCTGGTTGTGGTGGTGGCCGGAGGTGATGAAGCGGCGGAGAGGAAGATGTGTGGACTTGCGTCTGGGAAAGCGACGTAGACCACTTTTGCGCCCGAGAGGGAGGGGGTGGTGGCGTATGGTGTGTCGAGGAGCATGACTCTTAATAGAAGAAGCGGGAGTCTGGGGGGGCGATCGAGGTTATAATGCGCCTTGATATCTGGCGGGAGGGCGCGCTGTAGTGCTTTGAGGAAGGTGGGTGGGTGGAAGCGCGGGACGGGAGGGACGGAGGAATGGGAGGGCGTGAGTGCATAGGCGGACCATTTTTGCGATGTTGGGTGCGTTTGCAGGATCAGCGTGTCAGCCATGGCGAGTTGGTAGAGTGTGAGGCCATGGCGGTAATCTCCCGTTAAGAGGCGATCGAGGAGTGCGGTGCGTGTTCCCCGCGTGGACTGGAGCTCGGTGTAGAACTCGCGCAAATCCTCCAAGCTGGAATGAGGAGGATAGAAGTCCCCAGCGTGCAGATCATCGGCGTCGTCGTCGTCCGGGGAGACGAGGAAGGGCGCGCTGAGGGACTGGTTGCGGTCGTCGAGCCAGTCGAGGGTTAGGGAGAGGAGGGCGGGTCGGGAGAGTTTGGAGAGGAGGCGGGGGATGGCGGGGTCGGTGGAGGGGATGAGGAGGGAGGGGGGGAGGGCGGAGGAGGTGGGGACGGAGAGGGGGGGCATTGTTGGGCGTGGGTGTGGGTGTGGGCGTGGCGTTTGAGGGTTGTGATTGCGCCTCGGTGGTATTGGTGTTGTGTTTCTCTGGGGAATTGGGCGTTGGGAATTTCTCTAGGGAATTGATTGTTGGATAATTCGTTTGTTAGGCGTATGAGAATTGTGGCGTATACTGGGTGGTGGTTGTGGATTGCTCGTAGGTCACCTCGTTGACATACTGTCGCGGTTTGTTTACGTCGTCGACAATTTGAAGCTCGGTCATCATATCACATCAGGGTGCATATTTATATAATGCCTAATATACAAGGCATCAATACTGATCTGATAGATGGTCGATCTATATCACGTGAATATTATGGCCAGCCCTGCCAGGCATCCAAATTATGGTCACGTGATTGGTGACATGGTCTAGACTTTCTCGTTGACGTTTGTACAACATCACACAGGCGCTCTGTACGCCGAAAACTACTGAGAGACAGGCAGATCTAAATTATATAACCTCCATCACGGGGAAGCCCCTTTTCGATCGATGGATCAAATATGTCCTACTGTGTGTCCTACTGTATTGTTACTGTACCACAAACTGAAAAATCCGATCCGTGATCTGTAAGCACAAGAGGTAAAACCCAGCTATTTTCGGTAAAATGGGCGGCTAGGTAACTTAAATAAAGTATGATCTCACCTGCCCGCACGGCCTCGGATGTACTTTAGTGGGAATGGAATGCTTAACAATCATGATCACACAACATGGGATGTCACGTGATGTAGAGTAATGGGTAAGATACTTAGTATGAGGGGGGATTTGGTGAAGATGGCATGCTTTTATTATTCATTTATTCTCTTATATTTCTCCTATTCCTAATATCCGAGTTAAAAATATTGATGGGTAACTTATTCTCTTTTCCCTAAATGCTCCTGATTGATAAATAACGTTCCTTGGCAACTGAGCGCTCGATAAAAGAGGGCTCTTCTATCCCCCATTAGGATTAGCGCGCATTTCTCCGGCGCATGTAATAACTACTGGTAATAAATAAATCTCTCGCACGTGTAAAATTCCCCCCAGTCAATAATCCACTGCCCAGTCAATAATCCCTCCATCCCTCGAAACATAAGAAATCCCCCCTAACAACAACTTCTGCCGCCACCATCACCAACCACACTTCTTCAACAAGTCGACTCTCAGAAATAGTCGACAGTTAAATCAACTACAATTTAATCGCCGTCAAATATCGACCCCGCCTAACCCATTGGCAAGAAGGGTGGACCGCCTTACCACATCGACTCATAGTGCCCGCATTTCGCCCCGGCCGGCTACGGAGACAAAGAGCCTTCATCGATACTAAGACCACACATTTCCAGCGTCATCTCGACTTTTCTCACCCCACAACAAAATAACCGCGAAGACAACAGACTTGGAACCCGCGCAATACACAGAAACATCACAAACACCTCGATCCCCTCTGCGGACAAACACCCGACAACCGGAGTCACCTCCGATCAACCCCTCCATCATGGCGACCAACCCATACCACGACGGCCAGCGGGGTCCAAACGTGGCCGAGTTCATCGCGAACCTGAACGCCATCCCCTCGGCGCAGGACCTGGCTGCGCAGCGGCAGCAGGTCTTCAACTTCGATGACGACCTGGCCATGTTCACCAACGCCACCTTCTTCGACTTCGATATCGGCCAGGACGCCGACCTGCAGCCCGCCGCCCTCGAGTTCGACGGACAGGAGTGCGGCGACGCGCAGCTGCAGAGCACACAAGACATGGCAAAGGCGAACATGGACTTTCTACAGGGTGAGTGACGCTTATTTTACATTTTTACACGGGCTACCTGCTTTGCGCGTTGTTCCGTCGTCGCCTCTACCTCGCCGTCGCCTCGCCATACTCCACCACCACACACGACCTTTCAAAGTCTTCTGTGGTTGGGTGCTAGGTGCTAGGTGGCGAGGCTACAGCTACCGGAGAGCGCGAGCGCTACCCCCACGGGCCCTCTGCTCCAGCGTGCAGGCCTGTTGTGCAGCTGGCAGGGGCGAGACCCTTACTCCTGGGCCGGCTCAGCTCCTGAGCACGGGTATTTGTTTCTGTTATCCCCTTCCCTGAGCACCCCAGCACGGGTTTTCGCGGGTTTTCGGTGCTGGTTTTTTCCCAGCTAGCCATTTGCAACCTGGGCGATCTTTCCGCCGTGGTACCCTGTTCGAGACTCTGCCCTGCGCTGCCCTGGCGCGGCCTTGTTTTGTTCAAGCGACGAGCGAGGATTGGGCTGAGTCGACTGAGTGGGGGGTCAGTACGGGGGGGTGGCTAGCTGGTGGGCGGGCTGGTTGTTGGCTACGAGTGCTTTTGGTATGGGTCAGATGTTTGCATGCCCGATGGTGTGATGGCCGGCACTATGCGACACACTATGGCTGTTCAATCCACCAAGGCGAATCAGCAGCGCCAGTAGCGCATATAGTGCGTGTAGTGCGAATAGCATCACATCGCAGCGGAGAGCAAGGGAATAGCTTGCAGGTAGTTTCTGCAGGTTTTCACCTTGCGGTTTCGATAGTCAGACAGTGGACAGCAGTGCTGTATGGTACTGTGCTGTGCTATACTTTCCTCTACTCTACTGTACTGTATTATATTGTATTGTATTGTACTGCATTGCACTCTACTTCACTGTCTCTGTACTCTGTACACCAGAAACCCACGGCTTCCAGCCAGCGCAATCAATGTCAATCAATGGCAGTCAATCAATGGCAGTCAATCATCCCCGATGCAACTCCAATACACCTAATCTATCCGTCGTCGGGGCACTTGTCTCTTTTATCTCTTATCAGCGTAGAGATACGAGACACAGACCTCGGAAAAGACCTCGGTGGATGACGAAGACTGGGAATATCGATATCGGGAAGGTGTGCGAGGATGTGACGCGCCGAAGCCGATCCTGCCACAAACAACTCCAAAACACCCAATCTTCCTATTGCTCAATTAAGTCACACCCCTCATTTCCGACGTGGGAGTCCGGGCAATTGTGCGATTGTGTGTTGTCGCTCCTACTAGGGGAGGCCACAGGCCCAATTAGCGTCGGTCAGCCTTAGCACGTCTTTTCACGTGATACACCATCAAACATCTCCCTCCCGAAATACCACACATCTCTTATTATGAGAAGGCGTTCTTCAGTTCTGGAGTTTCCCCTCCCCTTCCGCCCCCCCCCCGAAAAAAGCCGTTTCCAAAAAAACCCCACGTTTGCTCCAGCCAAAGGGCTTCTCCCGTGTTGCGCCACCATCGTGAACCTCAACCGATCGTTTTTGCTGACGATGTGATGGCTCGAGTAGGCGACTTCGCGTTCCCGGACTTCAGCTCCTTCTCGCAGCAGCACCAGCACCCCAACGACGGCTACGCCGTGAACGGGGCCCAGCACGGCAACGGCAACGACCCGCAGCAGCACCAGCAGCTGTACCCGACCTCGGGCAACTCCAGCTCGTCACCGCCCTCGGGCCTCACCAGCCCGCAGAACGGGGTGAAGCGCAAGGCCTCCGACGCCCTCCTTGACGGCAATGGCGCCTACAGCGCGGGCTTTGAGGACTCGTCCCGCGTCGCGGCCGAGGAGGACAAGCGCAGGCGCAACACGGCTGCCAGCGCGCGCTTCCGCGTCAAGAAGAAGCAGCGTGAGCAGGCGCTCGAGAAGTCGGCGAGGGAGATGAGCGATAAGGTGGCGGCGCTCGAGGGGCGCATTGGTCAGCTCGAGACGGAGAATAAGTGGCTCAAGAACTTGGTCATGGAGAAGAACGACGATAAGGAGGATCTTGCCGCGCTGTGGAGGAAGTATAGCCAGGAGACCGCCGACAGGAAAGGTGACGCGCGCAGGAAGGGTGTCGGAACATCGGAGTTGTCGGCTTAGGCTTGTTCGCGACTGTGAAGCTACTCGACTGTCGATTGCATAGGGGTGTCTTCTTTTTGGGAGCACACCACACACGATCGCATCAAAGGAACAAACGAAAGTTATATAAAAAATTTATCTAGTCAGGCGTTGTCATTTCATTTTTTTGGCGGGCCGGGCTTGGCTGGGGGAGGTAGGGCGGTGCATGCATAAGTGGATGAATATATGATTTTTCAAGTTATGTTCGTTGTGTTTTGTCTATATATTGTGGTGTGATGTGAGATGCACGTAACGCCTGTACTTTATGTACACTCTATCGCTTGTGTCTATCCTCGCACATCTCGCCAATGGCCACTTCATCTAAATATGCCCTTCTATCCTTCTATCCTAACTCTCCCGCCACCATCTCCAACGCCCTACTCCACCTCCCTAAACCCAAACATCCTCCTCGAATTCCCCCACGCCATCTCCGCCACCTCCTCCACCGTCACCCCCTTAATCCTCGCCACAGCCACCACAATCCGTCCAATCAAACACGGTTCATTCCTCCCCTTCACCAACGCCCCCTCGGTCCACTTCTCCTTCTTTACCCACCTATACCCCGCCTCCCTCTCCAGCACATCTTTCGCTACCTCATCATCCTTCCCCGGCCCGTCGTAACTAGGACCCACGAACGCGGCGGATGCGTGAGTGGGACGCATCTCGCACCACGGGCCGTCGGTCTCAACGTGCAGCCTTTGTAAGGGGAGGGCGCGGACGACGTGGATGCCTTCGGCGGCACGGATGCTGCACCCGTTTATGCCGATGTCCCAGCCTGCTGCGACGAGCTCAAGCATTTCTGATACGGTGCCCGTGAAGCTGTGGACCACACCACGCTTGGGTAGCTTATCAGCACGCAACATCAATTCGTGTAAAAAGTCCTCGTGCGCGGCGCGGGAGTGGAGGAATAGGGGGGGAGGAGAGGGTAAAGAGGCGGCGAGGTCGAGTTGTGTGCGGAAATAGGTGAGTTGCGTCTCCTTGGGTGACAGGGTGAGACGATCATAATCCAATCCGATTTCCCCTATAGCGACGAATGCCTCTTTTGGCGCTGAGAGGATCAGCTCGCGCAGTTCGTCAAGCAGACCCTGTGGACCGAGGGGGTTCGTATCGAAGGTCTGGGTGGAACAGGGGTGCACCCCAATGGTGCAGGAGAGGAGAGTAGGGTGCTCTGCGCACAAGTCCAGCGCGGCGTGCGAGGTGGGGATGTCAGAGCCGGTGAGGAGGAGGTGCGTTAGTCCTGCGTCGCGGGCGCGGGCGAGGACGGCGGGGAGGTCTGAGGGGTGCCGCGGGGTGCCGTGGTGGATGCCGCTGTAGACGGGGTCGGTGAGGTTGATGCCTATCTGTGGGGGTGTTAGAGTTTTGGTCTTTTTGAGGGGGGGAGGGGGGGAGGGGCGTACGTCAATGAAGCGGGGTTTGTAGGGCGCGGAGGGCGGGGGTGGGGGGGTGGAAGAGGCCATTGTTGTGAGTGTGCGGAAGGCGGGGGGGATTGAAGGTTTTTGGTGATAGAGAGGGCGCGGGGGGAGACGCGAGAGGGTGCGCAGGGTGATGCGCATAAGGATTTAAGTGGTAATCTTGAAATTATACCCCGAGTATACGGAGTAAACACAGCTGTCTCGAACATATAAAAATCCCAGCCCACATAAAGACGGGCCTGGGCGCGGAACCGGATCATCACACCCCCCCGGATCCTTATCCGCAGGGACGCTTGGATTGGTGAATCGCGGGCGCCAGGAAAAAAAGTGTTGAGGGGTGTGCGGCCAGTGTCGGGATGTACCGAGGTGCCGCGACGGCGAGGACGGATTAAATTTCTTGTATCGGCCGCGCATGTGGACGAGGTGTGGCGCTATCGAATCGACGAAAGACAAAAACCCAAGCGGGCGGCACTTTTGTGATTTTTTTCTTTAGTTTTCTCTATGGAAGGGCGATTCGTGGCCGGATAACGATTGATAGGATGAAAGGGATCAATTTCGCACAGGGGCTCGTGAGGGTGCCCTGGACGTGTCGCGCTTGTACGAGGCAGATAAGACAGCCGCTGCTGAGGGCGCCGGGGAGGAAGAGTTATGCGACGGCTGCGCCGAATGCGAGGAGGGGGTTGAGTACGGGGACTATTCTGGTTACGGCGACGGTGGGGTCGGCGATTATTACGGCGGTGGCGTATCCGAATGATGTGAAGCATGCGTACCAGGCGTGTCAGAGGTCGGGGAGGGTGGTGGTTGCGCTGGCGAAATGTATTAATGAGTAGGTACTCCAATGGAAGATGGGATGAGGGGTATGGGGAGATGCTAACCTGGGCATAGTTATCGCGTTACGCTCAACCATAACGAGAAGACACACGAGGACGAAGATGACAATACAAAGAGGCTGAAGGCATGCCATCAACGATGCGCCAGCCGCACGCTCAGGGTGCTGGAGCAGAATGGGAGCATATTTATCAAATTGGGACAGCATTTGTCGTCCATGAACTACCTATTACCCGAGGAATACTGCAAGACGATGCTGGTTCTCCAAGACAGATGCCCCGTCTCATCTTACGAATCGATAGAGGAGATGTTCCTCCATGATACCGGTGGACAACTTCTCGACTACTTCTCCGAGTTCTCGCCTGAGCCCATCGGTGCTGCGTCTCTGGCGCAGGTGCACCTGGCTACCATAAAGGAGACTGGCCAGCGGGTCGCGGTCAAGATGCAACACCCTCATCTCGCTCAATGGGCCAACCTCGACATGAAACTCACCGCCTACACCTTCTCGGCGCTGAAGTACTTCTTCCCCGAGTATGACCTCGAGTGGCTCTCGAGCGAAATGGAGGCCTCCCTCCCCCAAGAACTCGACTTCAAGCTCGAAGGCCAGAACGCCCTCCGCACCAAAGAATACTTCTCCCACATCCCCTCTCTACCCCTCCTCATCCCCGACGTCCTCTGGGCCAAAGACCGCATCCTAGTAATGGAGAACATGTCCGGCGCCCGCCCCGACGACCTCGCCTACCTCGACGCCCACGGTATCGACCGCGACGAAGTCTCAGCCGCTCTAGCGCGCATTTTCAACGAAATGATCTTCGGCACCAATGCACCCCTCCACTGTGACCCGCACGGCGGTAACCTCGCCGTGCGCCCGAGCACCCGCCGCGGTGGACCGAACTTCGAAATCATCCTCTACGACCACGGTCTGTACCGCGACATCCCGCAGAACCTGCGCCGCGCGTACGCTAAGCTATGGCTCGCGATCCTAGACGCCGACGAGGCAGAGATGCGGCGGTGGTCGCACGAGGTGGCTGGGGTGAACGATGACGATTTCCGGCTCTTCGCGTCTGCGATCACAGGCCGTGATTACCGCGTCGTCGGCTCAGGGGTTGCGGCCGCGGTGCGCACGCCCGAGGAGAAGCGCGAGATCGGGGATCAGTTGGCGGAGGGGATGTTAGCGCAGCTGGTGCAGATGTTGGGGAAGGTTCCGCCGATTATACTGTTGATTCTGAAGACGAATGATTTGACGCGGAGCTTGGATGAGGGGTTGCAGACGAGGCAGGGACCGGTGAGGACGTTTCTTATACTGGCAAGGTATTGTGCGAGGACGGTGTGGGAGGAGCAGGTGGAGCAGATTAGGGAGGCGGGGAGCTTGTTGAGGCCGAGGAATTTGGTGAGGCTTGTGGGTGCTTGGTTGGGGTATTTGAGGGTTGAGATGAAGTTGGAGGTGTTTGAGAGGTGGTTGGGTGTGAAGAGGGTGCTGGGCCTCTCGCTGTGAAAAGACGATATATAAAAAATGAGAAGCTGGGGAGATGACGGGCCAAAGATAGGGGGTGTTCAAATAACTTGTAATATTAGCGTGCATTATAGAGCAAACATAGAAGCAACCTAGTTGCAGGGCCAGCCGACATATAGAATTTGGTATATATTATATAAACTAGCGCACGCCCAAAATTCTCATATCCATTACGCCAACGTAATGCTCCGTCACAACTCCATAACTCCATTCCATAAGTTCCTCTCAATGGCTTATACCACTGTCTCCATCATTTCTGTAGACTCCACCACTCCTTTAACTTCGCCACACAGCGAACGTGATACGACTCAATCGTCTTTTTATAATCCGCCTCCAAGTCGCCCTCCAGCGCCTTCTCAGCTAGCTCACTGGCCTCGCGAAAATCGTCGTAAAAGTACAATTGCTCGATAGCATGGATAATGGTCTGAAACTGCTGCTTCGAGGGGTTGTTTATAGGGAGGTCGAGAGTTTTGTAGAGCTGTAGCCCGTTAGTTTTTGGACGTAGGAAATATGAGGAATATCTCACCTCTCCATTGTCGACCGTTGGTTTCCAGGACGCCTTTTGCGCCTCGTAATCTTCCTGCGACTGAAAATCGCGGGGTACCTTCACCTTCGGCGCAGCACCGGACTCAGAGTCGGAGGACCCGAGGTCCATAGCTAGAAAGCCGCCATCGTCTCCATCGTCCGTCATGACTTAAAATCTGGAGACGTTGAACCCTTTAAGTGCGAAAGAAGTGAATGTCGAGCGGCGTGTTGGGGTCGCATCGTTGGGAAAATAAGGTAAAAGAAAGCTTATCGTGCAGCGGGCACTAAGTGAACCCGCCGCGTTACACGCATATGTTCCAGCCCATCCACGAATAAGTTGTACAGTAGTGGGACCCTAAACCAAACGCAACCGCTAGTGGTACCCACAGTAATTATTGACTCAAGAAAAAGGTACCTTCGACTCTTTAGCCACACATATCATCCGCATATTGACAGAAATTCAGGTGGTCCACAACGTGAGTTATTTGACATAAACATACTAAACTAACCCTGAACTAATCATTTACAAGAATGAAACGCGGAAAAAGCCCCAGCTCCGATAGGAGTGCGTCGAACACGCCAAGCCCAAAAAGACGCCGGCGCCTCCGGGAAACAACACTGAATGCGGCACACCAACAGACGGCGTCGATTTTGAACCAGACCGACCCACCTGTGGCGCCATGTCCATGCTGAGAACCCTAGTAAGATACATAATTAGACACTCTACACAGCTCCTTGTCTTCTTACAACTTCAACCTCAAACTTTATTACTTAGCTTATTGTATCCTCATACTAATATCTCTTGTTTTCTAGTGACGATGAAGCCGTCGAAGGAGGAGAGAGAGCAGTTTTACCTTGGAATGGACAACTCTGAGGCGGATCCTCCTGAGTTGATTGCGCGAAGTTCGACTTTTCTGTTTCAGCCATACACAAAAGCGAGCCAAGACGAGCCTGAAGAATGGATGATGAAACGAAACAGCAGATCGATATCTACCATTGGCAACCATAAGATTGTGGAAATATACGACAGCAAATTAAGGGCAAAGGTGCTGGATATTCTGTCTGATATACCATGGAAGACTATCGACATCGTCCGCGTGGGTTGCAAAGACGACAATGATCACCCGCCTGTCGTTCTCATCACAGCGGCTGCTAGCGGAGTTGACGATGATGATGCCCAAGATGCCGTTCAGAAGATTCACGAATTGATGCTTGAGTAAGTACCTTCGAGTCATCTTTATAATTTGCTAATAATATTCTAGACATGACTTACCAGACGTTCATGGGGAGATGAAGACGGGCCAAGTCTTTGAACTGGAGAGGTACAATTCTGGAGACCGCTACCCACTTGAGCTTGTCCGGGTGCTCAAGATGGGATATAGCATTAGCAATGCGGATTTGACCTTTGCGGGATCAATTTGCCTATTTTTGAAGATCGACGGCGTCCATTATGCTCTCACATGCCAGCACGTGGTCACGTCGTCAGCAGAGGCATTCACACCAGGAAAAGGCAAAGACTTGATATTGCAGCCGTCAAAGGGAGATCTTCAAGACGAGGCAACAACACTCAACGGGCTCATGGCGAAACCGCAAGCTTTTCTTGAAAAATTCGAGGCTGACAAGCTAAAGTTTAAGAGAGATGAGGCACCGCCGCCAGAGGCCACCCAGGATCAGGCCGATATGTTTCAAAAACAGCTTGATGGATATCGTAAGAGGAAGACCGCAATGGAATCCGCCATGGCAGAAGTCAGCCTACCGTTTGGAACTTTAATGCATGCGCCAGGCATCGCACCACACCCAACTACTAATTTCAGGCGAGATTGGGCCCTAATCAAGTTAAATGAAGATAGATTCCAGAGCCTACCACCGAATGTCGTAAGTTATTCCATTATTCTACTTAGCTTATAAAGTGCTTACTGACTTTATAGTTACCTCCAACCCACTTTTCAGACAAAGAAAGGGTCATCATAACGGAGATATATAACGAGGCATTCGATCTCGAATTTAAGAATCCAGTGACTACGATTCGGCCTCTAAAAGAGGTAAAAGGAGTTCTCGGCGGATCAGGGCCCCCAGACCTTAAGGATCAAGAATCCCTCCGTGTAGTCAAGCACGGCAGAACCAGTGGATGGACAAGCGGGTCACTTAATGAAATCCGGTCGGACTGCAGTTTAGAGGGACTAACTACGGAGTACTGTGTTGTTAATGTGCCCGACCTAAATCGCTTCTCCTATGGAGGCGATTCAGGATCATGCGTCCTCGATCTCAATGGCAGAATTGTTGGGATGTTACATAGCGGCAATGGGACAAATGTGCGGTTCGGAGCAGAGATTACGTATGTTGCCCCCATAGAATGGCTGTTGCAGGATATCAAGGAGACTTTGGGAACGGAGAACATCGTTATTGAGAAGGGCGACAAGAAAGTTTAGATCTGGCAGGTTACTTCGGCGTCGGAACTGGGATGCTGTTGGGGAGTTTGCCTACATGGGCCTAATGAAATAGATGATGAACGAATACGATACGCCTAGGACGGATGAGATTTTCATGCTCTCTCTCTCTCTGTGAATTTTATACCAAATTTTCTTTTTATTTATGGTCCTTTTCCATTTTTCCCTCCTTTTCCCATCTCCAACCTCTTGTTTCGTGCAGCGATCTCACTGACTCCCATGGATAACTGTAACGACTCTCTAAAATATTGTCAGATCCCATAACCAGGATAACTGGAGCGAACTCATCCCCATAATGGACCGCGTGCAAATGACACTCCCCCACGGCTCCATTGGCATGACCACCTACCGACTCAAGTACGGAACCGATCCGCGTACGAGTTGGGATTGGAACACCCCGAAAAGCACCAACCCCCGGGAGAACCTAAAATGGGATGAAGCCAAGGCGGTTGCAGACCGAATGCCCTAGCCGCAAGTTGGGCCAACAATGGGTCGGACCATATACGGTGTTGGAACGGATTGGGCACGTGTTTCGATTGGAACTACCTACCAATTCTCAAATACACGATGTGTTCTCACCAGACGTCCTCATGAAGCATCCGAACAACCCCCTACCTGGTCAGGATCCGCCTGAGCCTAGCAGCGAAGTGATAGATGGCGCAGAGGAATGGGAAGTGGAAAAGATCCTCGCCGTGAGGCTCCGACTGAAGCAACACAATACTGGGATAGTTGGGTCGGATACAATCCGGACCCGGAGTGGTACCCAGCGTCGAACTTCATGAACTCTCCCCATCAACTCAGAGAGTTTCACACGGAATATCCATATTTACCAGGTCCACCTCGAGAACTACTCGGATGGATTACGGCAGGGGAGTGTAATGGTGGGTGCACCAGATGTGAGAATCTAGCCACCCAAGGAAGGGATGATTTTACTAAGACAACACACTGTCTTGGGAAAAAGAGCCAAAGGGTCGTAGCTTAGACTATTCCACAACGCAGCAATCAGGTGTATGATGTAGTGGAGTGGTTTAGACAAGTTGTAACAAATGTTGAGTCTGAGAACTCAGGGATAAGTCAGAGGTTAGCACCTTACTGACTTTTCAGAAACAAGGAGTAACAAGGAGTAACAAGATCAATGCTTGGAAGCTTGCAAAAGACGTGGAAGTATGTGATAGTCGATTTACTGTATTGTCTGCTTGCCCTTTCTTAAGGAAAGGGCAATCCTATTTATGCTAAAGGAATGTAGTTCTCTCATTTTCCAAGACTTTCCATGACTAACCACGCTTGGTAACTGTAGTCGACGTAAGAGAATCCCATAGAACCATCTCCTAGGTTCCTAGCCTATAGGAAGTGAAAGGAGGTCTAAGGTCAGAGTACCCCTATAGACAAATTATGTCATAACTTAACCAATCTTGTAGGTAACTAAGGAGCGTGTAAGGACACAGGGCACCGTATCACGAGAAGTGGCATATGGGAGTGCGAGTCGGATATGAGTCGGTGCAATCCTATAGGTCTACTACGAAGGATACAAAAAAGATGAAGGTGTAACCCTGTATGACTGTTCCCTTAAAATACCCGAAACCGCTCCGACTCAGCTAGCTCCCTGTTTGCCTAAGGCTTCCTTACGTTATGTGCCTAAGGCTGTCAGTCGCGACTGACCCGTAACGGCCCCGAGTCTCGATGACGCCACGTGACGGCCGTAACTACCCCGAGTAAGGAGGCATCCTTACAGAGCGATGACGTGTAATGAATCATAGATGGTTGTAGAAACTTTTGGAGCTATCGTTCATGTTCCTAGGCCTCTAGTTGATAGAGATATGTCATGTGTAGTATTAGCCCAGTAACTAAGGAGTGATGTCATGTAATGAATCATAGAGGGTTGTAGAGATATGCTATGTGGTCATATCGGCCCAGTAACTAAGGAGCAATGACGTGTAATGAATCATAGAGGGTTGTAGCAATCGTTGAGTAGTATTGCTCTTGTTGTTGGTGTGACAAGCCAAAATATGTATAGTAACTTGTAGGTTTGAGGAGGAGATTTCTAAGTTTGCTCTTGAGTTTGATAGCAAACTGAGTGCAACAAATGTCAGTATGACAGGGAGGCGGGCGAGGAACAAAACTATGATCACAGGAGGGAAGAAAAGGCGGAAGAAACAGAGTCGTTGCTATCTACGACTCTAAACTAAAATACCCTCTGAGCCAGGGCGCACTCACCATCGTAAGTCTTGCGGGAGTAACCCTTCCCAAACGTATCACCGGCGTCGCAACAAGTGGCTACCACTGAGAGAGACGAAGGGTCGAAGCGACCCCATGAGAAAAGTCAGGTCCGAGTCCCATCTGACATAGGGCCTCCTGCATCCTATGCCCCATCCTCCTCCGCCCCATACTGGGCCCCAAACCCATCCCCCTCACCCTCACCACCCTCACCACCCCCACCACCCCCCTTCTTCCTTCCCCCAGCGTGGTCCGGAACCGTCGCAGCGACAGCGACGGCAGGAAGCCTGCCCACGGCAGCCACCACTTCCCCCAAAAGAGCCGGCACGCTCCCCTGCTCCGTCCGAAGACGGCGCAGTGACGACCGGATTTGCTGAACCGAATCAGCACCGAAACAACACAGGACAGGGGGATACTCACGGCCAGACCCACCTCGAGGGCGGCGCGTGTTGCGCAGAGCTCCTCGTAGGAGTCGCGCTCGGCGGCCGAGCAGAATTTCGGGACACTTTGGGCAGCCACAAGGGCCACCCGGTTTGCCTCTGCAGCAGCGGCTTCGACGGCGATGGGGTCCCAAGGATCTGCTGCTTCGGCGGCAGCAAGGACACAGTATTCCTCGTCGAGGAACCAGGGAAGCTATGCAAATTGTTAGCAAAAGCCAACAGAGACAGAACAGCAGAAGGGAACTCACCGGAACGCAGGTGGAGTGCTGCGCCGTGCAGTACTCGCACTTGGAGGAGGCGGGGGACCAGACACAATCATGGTCCTTGATGCCACGAGCTTTGGCCTGAAAGCAGCGCAGGCAGAGGACACGGAACGCGCCCAACAAAGCTCCCGCGGGAGTCAGAATCAGCATCGCAAAAAGTTGGAATTCTGCGTAGAATCCCATCAGCCCAGCACACGTTATCACCCCTACGCCAACGCGCTCCCATCACCTACTCGTTCTTATGGATTGGAAATACCCTATTGTCATACTGACATTCGTTGCACTCAGTTTGCTATCAAACTCAAGAGCAAACTTAGAAATCTCCTCCTCAAACCTACAAGTCACCATACATATCTTGGCTTATCAAACCAACAACAGAAGCAATACTACTCAACGATTGCTGCAAACTCTTCTACTACATCTGTTTATGCTACATACATCACGGCATATCATTTGGACACTCATTGAACAAGTTATTAAGAAAATCTCCTCCTTAAGGGGGTGGGCCAATACTACCACATGGCATATCTCTACCAACTAGAGGCCTAGGAACATGAACGATAGCTCTAGAAGCTTCTACAACCCTCTATGATTCATTACACGTCATCGCTCCTTAGTTACCCACAAGATTGGTTAAGTTATGACATAATTTGTCTATAGTTACTCTGACCTTGGACCTCCTTTTCACTTCCTATAGGCTAGGAACCCAAGAGATGGTTCTATGGGATTCTCTTACGTTCACTACATGATTAGCAAGCTAGTTGTGGGTCGCACTTGATTTCTAATACATTTACCAAGCCTGGTTAGTCATGGAAAGTCATGGAAAATGAGAGAACTACACTCCTTTGGCATAAATAGGATTGCCCTTTCCTTAAGAAAGGGCAAGCAGGCAATACAGTAAATCGACTAGCACATACTTCTACGTCTTTTCCAAGCTTCCAAGCATTGATCTTGTTATTCTCTGTTTTTGAAAAGTCAGTGAGGTGCTAACCTCTGACTTACCCCTGAGTTCTCAGACTCAACATTTGTTGCAACTTGTCTAAACCACTTCACCACATCATACACCTGATTGCTGCGTTGTGGAATAGTCTAAGCTACAACCCTTTGGCTCTGTTTCCTAAGACAGTGTGTTGTCTTAGTAAATTCATCCCTTCCTTGGGTGGCTAGATTCTCATATCTGGTGCACCCACCATTACACCTATCCAATTCATTAGTGCACTGTCGGACAATCCACGGGAAGGGGTAACTTACAGTTCTCAGAGGGGTGGATGCTGGCGTTGTTGTTGGAGACAAAAAGAAGAAGTGGATGCGGCTGCGCACTCATAGTCTGGATTACAACAATGAACTCTGAATCGGGTTAGCGCGAACACTTCTCCTTTCATACATAGGACAGTCTAACCCGAACGCTTCGCGGATGCGATTTGGAGTCCACTCGGACCACCAGGAATGCACCCCAGAGCGAACAAAGCAAAGTCTAACCCAGACGCTTCGCGGTGCGATTCGGAGTCCACTCGGACCACCACGAATGTACCCCAGAGCGAACAAAGCAAACTCTGGTTTCGCACACTAAACGGAGTCAATACGGCCAGCTCTAGCATGACATACAATGCACCTTCGCAACACGGAACATAAACAGCATTGTTACAGATGCAATTACAAACAGAAATCCTGCCAACATAGAATGCTCTTCTCACAGATACCATTCAGAGATATTGCGGAAATGATTCTCACAGCGTGTTTCGCGGACAAAACACTCTCTTAAGAGGGGGGGTAGTGTAAGGATGCCTCTGCCCTCAGTGATGGAAAGCATCGGAGTTGGGCAGGTTACGGTCACGTGGGGAGAGTTAGGGCAGGTTAGCCGCGTTGGACCCGTTTCGGGTACTTAAGGGGATTGACCCAACGGGGTTCTATGAAGTAGAGTCTATCCTTGACAAAAAGACACTTAGAGGTCAGGACTACTTCCTCGTTAAGTGGAAAGTCTATCCTACAAGTGACAACACTTGGGAACCTAAGAGAAATCTAAAAAATGCATCCAAGCTGATTCTAGAATTTGTTTCTAAGAAAGCCACCTGGCTAAAGGGCAAGCACACAGCTAACAAACGTCCTTAAGAGGGGTATCATGTCATACTGACATTCGTTGCACTCAGTTTGCTATCAAACTCAAGAGCAAACTTGG